ATTATCGGTGTCGCTCATCCCACTCATAAATGAAAGTTCCATCCATACAAGATGGATAGTATATCAATGAAACTGAATCGAAGTTGTCTGATTGTGGGATAAATGGTGAAATGTGAACGTTGATATATAATGAAAATAAAATCCGATGGATGGATAACTGTGTGCAAATATTATATGATTATACAACAATTCGGTCATATCTCATACAGGAGTATTCATGGGAAAAAGTCGAAACCACTTTGGATGGTACAAAGTGAAATGATCGAGAAAAGAAAAGCCGAAAAAATGTTGCGATCCAAGAAGAAATCATCAAACGAAAATGAAGTAAACCGTGAGTTTTTATTGTCTCGATTAGGAGATGTGTTTGTTTGTGTGAATTGATGCACCAGATATGCATCGTTTGACTTGATATGTGAATTATTTTGTCGCAAAAATTTATCGGTTTTCAGCGAAAGTTATTTTAAAATTTAGTTTCAGTTACAAGACAGTTGTCCCGTGGTTGATTATCATAAAACTGTTGAATTCATTAGGAGTTTACCTTCCTCTTTTCGCCTTTCAATAGCATGTTCAGTTGATGAATGTTTTCTTTTCAGTTTTAATTTTTTTCTTAATCGAATTTACTTTAGGTGAAAGTGACGCGACGTTGTCGAGTGATGAAGAGATGTCATCATCAACTGCAGAGGTGAACATTATTTTGCCAATGATCAGCAATCAGTATTAGTTTATTGATGTATTTTTATGAGTAATTTTACTTTGAAAAATTTTCCACGTGATATTCTACGAGCAATTTTAATGAATTTTCATTGTTGCGCGCTAATGTCAAGGTATGAACTGCGTTGCTAAATTTAGACATCGAGCTTAATGAAGAGCAACACCGCTAAAAGCGATTACTTGTTACTGAACAAGAAATCTGAAGACGCAAAACGGCATTCGGAGGACCATCGAATGCAGCAGTCAGATAGTGACGGAGTGATGAGTTTGGCTGATGATCATTTGGGTGGTGAGGATGCCGGAAGGAGAGATGAACCATCGAATGTGCAAGAGGTTGACGAGTATCAGTGTGTTTGCGAGAGTCGATTATCGCTTTGGCGTCGATTCAGTGAGGTTGAACCACTTCTTGAAATGCCGAATAAACCGTTGAATGTGGCTGATGTGCCTTCATCGTCACTCACATCTCATCCGGAAATGGACAAATCTAATCACGAACAAACGCCACCGATAGCATCTTCGTCAGTTCTTGTTAGTTTTGAATTTAATTGACATTTTCACTTTTCTTTTGATTATATTATTATGTGTTATTGGAAACGTATGAGTTATTTTTAAGAATGTACTTAATTGACATCGACACCAGCTCAGGTTTCATGCGAATTCCAGAGTAATTGACTATGCCCATTCTCAGAAACATTTGCAAAAGTTTCCACTCGATATAATGTCTATTCCATTTTTTAGAAAAATATGAATTAATAAAGTGAATGTTAGCTACTGTGGTGGTAAGAGCAAATGTACGAATATTCAGTGTCTTATTATAGATTTTTAAATACACATTCAAGTGAATATATGAATATGGTAACTGATGTAATTTAAGCAGTTGTTTTTTTAGTCGATAAACTCTTTTTATTATTTAGGAACAAGATCTGTTCCTGTCACCATCGAAAGCAACGCTTGACGACAGTTTGGGTTTATCACTTTCGCCTAGTGTCAGTGTGGACAGTTTGTTGAGCCCGGACAATACGCTTAATTGTGTGCAGGTTTGTGTTTGTTTTGGGCGTTTTCAGAAATATTTATCACTTCATTGCGTTGTTACGGAGATGTTTAGTTGGATTTTGTTTAAACGAGAGCCGAAATATTTTGGTGCACAATAACTGTAGTTTGATTTTTCATTGCACAAAATGATTGGGTTCATTTTAAAGGATCGAATTCTTTCTGAGAGTCTCTTAGTGGATGAGATGCCTAGCTCGCGACGTGATGTTGTGGCCTCGTCAAGTGACGAATTGCGTTCGCATCGGCGGCGAACACAATCATCGTGCGGGCAACAGCGAGAGGAGTGCAGTGATGACCAGATTAAGGTGAGCAAATCTCATAGAAGTCATATCCGAATTGCGAGTGAGAACGTTAATACTGATTCAGTGGTAAGCAAGGTATCAGTATCATCTGATCAGTGGATTTGATTCAAAAAGTGCTCCTCTTTTGATGACATTCATGTATTTTTCATTGGATTTATTTATTTTTAAAAATTTTTTTAAATGTAATATTCATTGGTGAGATGACGATCGCTTGATACAATGTCATCAGAGCTGTTTGAATCTTAAGCACTGATAATGCAGTTTACTGTAAATGTTCAGTTTCTCCGATAATAAATTATATTAAAATTTTAGCTAAGAAGTCGATCCATCTCGATTGCTGTGGTTTCGGGTCGGGACTACAAACGAACCGCATCATGGGAGATTCCAGAAGGAAGTCATTCACCGTCTTTAACCTCCTATCAGAAGTCAACACTCAGCAGATCAGCTGAGAGAAATGAAAAACTGAAACGAGAAGAGAAATCGGTTTTAACTCGAAGTTTACTCTTCAAAAAGCACCAACGGTTGTTGTCGTACAGTGGCACGAGAAGTCAAGAAATGATTCGAACAGAACATTCCCATCTTCAACGACGAACAATGTCGTGTTCGATAGAGGACGAAAGTCCAATGAAAGTGCCTGTTTCACCTGCTAAGAAATCACGAACTCGTCGGTATTCGTTGAGGAGTGTACATGAATATCGATCTGAATCAACGATAACTTCATTGCAACCGTCATCACCCATCAAGGCATTACCATCAAATATATCGGCGTTATCGCCGAGTAGTATGAAGAAAGTGGTAACTGATGAAGAAAATAATGAAAGAATGTCATCAGCTGAAAGTAAAAACGACAAACAAGAGCTGTGTGAAGATGTGACAAGGACCTTGAATGGATCGGATGATGACGACGTTACAACTCTGTCGACATTATCACCGAGTACGAACGAAGTAATGAATGATGAGCATAACAATGAAAAAATGTCAACAACTAAAAGTAAAAGCGAAAAACAAGGGCTATGTGATGAGGTGGCGCATTTATCGCCTTCTGTTGAATCGCCGAAGACGTTGAATGGACCGGATGATGATGGCGTTAGAAATGTATCGATATTGTCGTCGAAATGTATCGATATTACGAA